CTCTTCCGCGACAGATCAATTACTCATGCTTCATAGGTTACACTGGTGAAGATATTTAGTCCGCACGCCAGAAAACCGTCTGTATCGCAGGGCTCTTTTCGTCCAGCCCTGTGCTGAATGGACGCGACTAAGAGGTGGACAGTGTATGACCTGGCAAACTAACAAACACTAACTGGTAAAGAGAATCGCGTCGACGACTGCCACCTCCGTGGATGGGGACTCCGGGACTCAACTCACCAGTGTTTTATGACCTTGACAGGAATGGTCCACCTGCCCAGTTAGTGGCCCTCTTGCATAAAAGCTATCGCCTTCGACGCGTAGACACTCAATTCGCGAATTAACTGAAAAGGCCATCGCCTCCAATGCTTGACTGTATTTCCCACACTTTTCCACTTTTTGTACTGTGGCAGATGGAGCAAATGTATTCATGGTGTACGTTTTATAACTGATAAATTGACTGCTCGATTGATTGGGTGGGCGATCACCACTCCGGATCAGGACAAACTTCATCTACCGTCGGCAACAGAGGTGGTAACGTCAGTGTTAGTGGTTGTTTGCCGTAGAAGCACAAATTTTATTTAGTTTTACTCTACCATCATCATCATCGAAGGCACGGCATCAGCCTTCAACACCGACGCTTCGCTGCCGTAAAACCCTGATTTATTTCAAAGCCTTATTGTGAAGAAAAGAATAAAGGCGGACGGGAAAGGGAATCGATGCTAGCTTACTACAATCATTTCGAGGAACTGACACCTACAGACACTCATTCAGGCGATCTGGATAGAAACTAGCATAAAAATCGCTACTGACATTGGTTGGCAGGCATATCTTGCAGCGTCTCCAACCACGCGCAGTGAAGGTCACGCGGTCCCCATCCTGTAGGCGAGTAGCACCGACAGCACCCAAGCGTTTCGTTATCTCATCATCATCATCATTGTCAGCTGTAAGAACCGCGTACTGGTCGTACACTGGTTGTAGCTGCCACAGTTTCGTTCACCGATGATTGG